CCACCACCACCACCACGTGACAGCGCTTTGCGAGCGGGCAACCACGCGATCGCGCGCCGCTAGGCTGATCTCGAAAGCGCCGCTGTTGCGTGTGTAGCCCCTGCTATAAACGGGCTCGATTCACCCGCGCGATTCTCTGTCGAAAGGCGGGCCACGCTCGTGATGTAACTTTTCCTGGCCTACTTCGGAAGGAGCTTACGTAACAGGGTCGCCGCTGCGTTTTTTCCTCGCGGAAGCGACGCCGGCCTACTTGAAATAAGGAGAGGGGAGGCTGGCACCATCAACTTCCGCTTCTTACTTCCGGCAGTGCTCTTACTTCAGAGCTGTCAGCGGCCCTATCGGGCGTCGGAATCGCCGAGCATGTTTACTCATTGCGCCACGGCCTTTCTTTTCCTTTGTTCAGCTCCGTTATGGCTGATTTGGCTTTGAGAAGGTATCGTTTGGTATTATAGACTGTTTTTTTTTTTCTTTAACTCTTCTGCTTTCGCATTTTTACATTTCCCGCAAAAAAAGTTAATAAATAACAATACTGCAGCTAGCAGTCATTGTGGAGGTGTTGCGTTGCTCAAGGTTGTTTTTCAAATGCACCAAGCCTACCAAAGCTAAACCACACTCCATCCTCTCCCAGCACTTAAACCTCCCCCACCCCCTGCTGCCAAAAAGCTGTCTCACTGTTGCCTGTCAGCTCACGTCGCCCTCTTCGTAAATGAGTCAACTTGTAAATATGATCAGGTTTTTTTATTCCACAAACGCTTTTTGATTGTGTGTGAATGTCTGGTTTTTAGGCAGCACTCATTCTTTTGCAGTGGATAGTATCTGAAGGGAACCATGACGAAAGATTTGACCCACTCCTCTTGTCATGGGCCTGTCGTGTTCTGTAGTTGCTGCCTATTTTTTATGACCGGGCAACTCTTCTTGAAGCTCTAATAGGCAAACTGCTGCTTTTTCTCTTGATGTCAATGAAGTTAACAAGTGATTTCTTGTTAACTTCTTTTCATGTCTACATCTCAATCGCATGGTTCTTCTGCTAGTTCGCATTATAGTGAGGATAATCTCGCAGCTTCCTTCACTGCATGGCTGCGCGGGACGCACGTCTTCATTGGCAGTTTGCTTTTTTGTGTCATTATTATTATCCACTGTGTTGGTGAGCAACAAATTGTCCAGCCATCAGAATGTATAATCGCTCTTTATCCTTGATGGCTTCCATCGTGTTTGTTACACCACACATGCCTTAAACTGTCAAAAACTATATAGCTTCTTGCAACTGCTCTGGATGAACCCTTGGTCACTATTAACGCGATCATATATGATCACCGCGTAGTTCTGATAGCTCTGAAAGCAAACTGCGGACTAGGTGACTCGCATAATGGTAAACATTGTTTCAAAGCATTCTGGCATATATCATCTATGCCAGAGTGGCCTAGAAAACAAATCATTCTTGCACTCGCTGTCCTTCCCTCCATTCTTTTAAGGTTCGTTCCCACTGATGTATGTTGATGCAGATTCCGCCACTTAGTTTTAGACATCCATACCATGGTTATAGATGCTCGCTGTTATTGCTTAATATGTGTCACCAGGGGCGGATCCAGCCACTCATTTTAGGGGTGCGGTCGATAGAAGTAATACTACCAGATAGGGGGGCGTGATCATTACTTTTTTTAATTTTACAGCACAAAAACTCTGCCATGGCATAAATACTGTTCATGTGTGGTCACGTTCATATGTGGTCATGTGTGGTACGATTTCACTATCATATCGTGGTATTGGCACATTAGACCGCACATCTCTTGTTACCTCACTCGCACGCCTGCCTTCTCTAATGAAGACAGTCAGGTGGCACGTGCAGTTGTCCCTAAGATTGCTATGGGAGAAAGTCCCGGGGCTCATTACGCGAGCAGCGCTTGAACAGGAGACGACGCCTGCACCATATGGTGCACGCGTTGCGTCCGTGCTGCTAGATTTGATTGATATGTGGGGTTTAACATCCCAAAACCACCATATGATTATGAGAGATGCTGTAGTGGAGGGCTCCAGAAATTTTGACCACCTGGGTTTCTTTAACGTGCAGCCAAATCTGAGCACACGTGCCTAAACTGTCTTGCAACTGCACCTGAATTGAGTAAGCACGAGCTTAGAGTTCGAGGATGACAACACCTCAGTTGGAAGTTTTATGGTTACAATGTTTTGCGTCAGCTAAAGACATCTGCAGCCGTTCATGGCTTTGCTTTGTTTATGGCCTCAAGTTATCTCTTCTACCACAAGTGCGTAACTGCCGGCCTTTGTGCACAATCTCATAGCTAGTCTGGTTACTTATGAGGTCCACACTTTGCTAGGGCTGGTGCCGGCTGCACAGCTTCTCCTAACGACAACAAGGCTGCCGGAGCACATCTTGGCCCTGACTACAGAGCAGTCTGAAAAAGTCTTAGAATTGCGCGCGATATTGTTCTTTTTTTTATATGATGTACAAAATGCTAAAAAATATGTTTGGATGCATATTCATATGGATGCATATGTATGCATATGCCAACCTATGCGGAGTGAGCTGGCTCATGGAAAAGGATGATGCTAGACAAAATCACCAAGGTTATTGGACATATGATTTAATGAGAGATCATTTACATCACGAGCATCCATCTATATTGGAACACCTGCAGGCTGTTATCACAGAAAAAAAAAATTACTGAGAAAAGTGTAAGAGTTCACTTTTGTCTCACGCAAAACAAAGCTTCGCCGCATGGGACGAGCAATAAAGCAGTACCCCGGTTCTGAATTTATTCATCTGTGTGAATAGAAACGTTTTGTACAACATTTATTACTTTTTATACAATTTCTGGGCCATTTATACAATTCCTGGGTCAAAATGTATCTTCTGACTTTTTTTGTTTTGAATATTTTTGCATGTATAGTGTTTTATATTGTACTGTTTACCAGCTGGCAAACAAAAATCACACACTTCTCACATTTTATATCCTGAGACATTTCTGTTGCCCTAAAACATATTTTTTGGAAAGAGCACTTCATTGTGCAATATTTTGTATGCCACTATGCGTGCTTTAGTTTTTTTTCAAATTGACAAAAACGATCTTCCCGAGACATATGAAAAATGACCATTTTTGCGCGGTAACAAAAAAAGTTAAGCTAGAAGTGCAAAATTTGTGATTACAAAAAAAAATGAAAAACTTTTTTCATAAATGTGCATTAATTGAAGCACTAGAAAAATATCCTGATCTTTCTTAAAATACGACAAAGTGCAGAGGATGACAGCATACAAAGGCATCTTTCCAAAACTTGTGCCAGGAGTTGACATATTCGTAACAGGAAACCCACATTTTCATTTGCTTAGGTATTTTTTGTATTCTTTGTATTTCTCATCTACAGGCCTGGGAAATTGTTTATTTATTTATTCATTCATTTATTTATTTATGTTTATGCAGTTGAGAATAGTGTACTACCTGCATACATCTGTAGGTTTAGTTTCTATTGCAAATGGGGCACTTTTTATTGCTGGTACAGTGATTACGGTGCTCTGCTGTTTACCCAAAAACCAAGAATTCGATCTCAGCCATGGAAGTCACATTTCGATGGAGAGGAAATGCTGAAGGTCGACGTACCGTGCGATATAAAAAAAGTTGAGGGGGGGGGGGCAGGGGGCTGGGGGCTAGATCAAGAGGTCTGTGAACCACTAAACAGACAGCATTATGGCAAAAAAATAGCCACAAACACTTTTTATACGACCTTCTTTAAGGCAGCTTTCAGTAGGAAAGTATTCTATCAAGCTTCTTTTTTTTTTTTTTTAATTCGTAAAATCACGTCCAGAGATATTCTAGATTTTGCCTTAAAACTACTGGGCCAGGACTTGTAGACTCTCAGTAAATGGAAATCTGTTAAACGGAACTATTGCCTTTGCAATGCTTGGTTTCGGGCTTGTATTCTGCACTCATGTTCACTCCTGAACATGAAAGGGAACTCCTGTTAAATAGAACACATTTTTCTGGTTCCTTTGGGTTTTGTTTACTGAGAGTCTATTGCGTGGCATTCTATTTTTGTTATGTTTGGTCTGCATTAGCATCCTGTAGATGCTGAGGAGTTGTTGGGCTGAGCTTTTGGCTTCTTTAGAATGCAATTTAGTCATTAAATGGAACAGTTGTAGATTCTGAGCTCTTTCTCACATGCCTTTTTATCACAATAAAAGCTTCTTGCCATTTTGGAAGCATTGATACATAATATAATGCGAAGAAAGTTTTGAGATGTGTAAAAGTGTAAAATTATTCTGCTTGGTATATATAATATAGCAAATGAAGCTACTTTATGGAAGCAGCAGTTTAAAGTCTTGTTCTACTTGAACTGCATGATTCATAGCCAGCCGTTCTCTCAGTGCGAGATGATAGTAGAAAGGCTTATAATAAAATTTGAAAGCTGGTAGAAAGATGAAACTTTCATGTGGGCTTGTGCTATGAGAAAGTGATGGAAAAGCAAGCTAAGGTTTTATTAATAGAGAATGGCTAATGGTAGCATCATTTTGTACATAGGACAAAAACAAGTTCTGTTTAATCTACCATGGATGAATATAACTTGCCTTCTGCATCAGTACTGTCAAAAGTTTTTTCTTTTTTTCTGTCGTATATGAAAGTGCTACCAGCCTTTCCCGCCATTTTTTCTTCTGTAAAACATCAGATGTAGAGGGTGGTTCAGTAGCCGCCAAGAGTCGTCTTTAGGCCTCTTCTAAATTTTCAGTAGGATAAGGTGGTCTTCTGCTGCCATGTATAAGAGTGGAATAGGATCGAGCAAGATACTATATCGCCTCATTATGGGGATGTTCTCTGTTGGCCTGTGACAAGCTGCCGCATTTACTTTATTTTTCTGTAGATGTGAGGCAGGTTGCTTACCAAATTTGTACGAAGATTTTTTTGTTTGAATGGGCAGGTGTTCACATGATTCCCAATAATATTTTGTACGTTGTGTTGCTTCAATGAGTCATGATGAGCTGCTTTTTCTTGCAGACTCTGATCAACATGGCCTATTGCTGCCTGATTCTGATTGGAAAAGTCATACAGAAGCTTGTGTTCGGCGAGCTTCGTGTCTCCGAGCAGCAGGTAAGGAGTACTTTTTTAAAAACTCTACTTTGGCATTTATAAAGAAAACATTAAAAACTTTACTCATTGTTTGTCTGGCCCATTTTTCTTTTCAGTAGCTTCGCTGCCAATTTAACTTTTCACGCAGCTTGGAAGTGAGATTAAAGTATGTCGCTGACGTGTGAGAGTAAAAAACAAAATTGAATGATATTTTCAAAAAAAGGGAAGTGGTATCTTATTACACTCGCACTCGCTGGTATACAACTCAGGTTAAAGGGGGGGAAAGGGGAAATTAGTTTGACATGTACAATTTGGTATACGACTTTTCAGAAATTTAGCATATTTGTGGTCTACAAGCTGAGTTCACTGCATTGCTTCATGATAATACGAGGGAGCCATCTTCATGGCAATATATAGGGTTTTCTTTCTTCGTAGTTATCAAACATGAAAGTCTTCACTCCCAGTGCCGGTGACCTTCAAGTGACCTTGAGCTAAAATTTCTCGCCATTATAAACGAGATCATCCAAATAACTGGACAAAACATTTAGTTTTGTTTTAATATGGTCTCTGGTTGCTAACTACTTGCACAGAACAGCATTGCATGTTCTAGTTACGGCCCAAAGAAATTATGAAAATTTTGCCTTTGCGTTCTTTTCAGTGAATGTTCGTGCTAAAGTTTAATTTTAAATTTTCTACAGAGACGTTTTGGAGAAAGAGACAGGGCACCATACCATTGCTCTATTATACGATGCAGAGCTATCGCAGAGGCAGCAATGCAGCATGGTAGTTTTTCAACCATAGGTTCAATCTCGGCCGCCCACCTTCATTAGTGTGTGTGTTTGTATGCGTGCATATACATGCAAATTTCGAAATTTCCTAGAGATTGGAGGGGAGGGGGGGGGCTACGACACTGACTTCTGATGCTGTATGCAGCGGCACGTCCGACTTTTGTGCTTCACATTTGAGTGTGTTAATTAATGCCAGCTTGGCGAAGAATAGCAGGTCAATTTATTTCGCAGCTGTCATTGCGTCAAGAATGCGTTGCGGCTACGCCACAGGGCGGGCCGTCTTGCATGACGAAGAGGAATCGTGATGGCAATCGGTAGTTCTTATTTTCTACATATGGTGCCCTCCTAATTACACCACTGGCTCTCCCAAATTCATGCTGGAAAAACCCTTCCGTGAGGAAAACCCAATTTCTTGCGGGGGAAAGCCAACATTTGGGGGGTTTGACGCTGCCTGGTGTTCAATGAATGAAGCGTTCCAGATATTTTCGTTCTATTTCTATACATTGGCGCTAAGGGGGCCCTGGAACTATTTTTTAGCCTCCAAGTTTTACTGTGCAATGTGTTCTTTGTGTGAGCCTTAGGTGAATGCAAAGAAAGAATTTTGGAGAGTGATGCATGCAAAAAAGGGGGGGGGGGGGGGCGAGATTGAATTTACAAATTTAAAATAAAGGCAAACATACGTTTTCATATTTCACTCACCTAGTGCCATGTCAATTTGGTTCCAATGAAAACGCGGCCATTTTGCCATACCGAATCACAACACATTGTAGCCTTGCTGCCAGAATCAGCTGCCACACATTTTGGTTGGGTTGGTGCTGCACAGCCGATAGTTTTGTTGGTGAATGGGAGGTCGGAATGAGTAAAAAATAATGACCTCCTCTGTCTGGATGGACCTGGGTTTTGCCATAAAGAAATGAATGAGAAATGAATGAAGAAATGAATGAGAAATGAATGGTTTACAATGTACCATTCAACTGTGCTAGCTTTGGTATTCACGCAGAAACTGAAATTTCTCATAGGTCTAAGAAGCAGTCAATACATTATAATTTGTAAATTAATCACGCTCAGTACATCAAGAAAAATAAAGTTGTTGTATTTGTGAACCTTCTTTTTTTCCGGAATCATGCCAATTAAGCATCTCTTTGATTGATGATTTGATTGATGATTGATATGTGGGGTTTAACGTCCCAAAACCACCATATGATTATGAGGGACGCCGTAGTGGAGGGCTCCGGAAATTTCGACCACCTGGGGTTCTTTAACGTGCACCCAATTCTGAGCACACGGACCTACAACATTTCCGCCTCCATCAGAAACGCAGCCGCGGCAGCCGGAATTTGATCCCACGACCTGCGGGTAACAAAATTTGTGCATCTCCTATGTTAGTAAGGAAAGAAGTGTAAATTTAAGGGCTCATTTTCTTTGTTAGACATGATATTAATGTTGTGCTATATTGGCAGAAGCGTGCTGTCACAATCACTGTACATTTCTTGCAAGTTCAGATATGTTTTGTTTGCAGAGAGTGTGATGAAGTCTTATTTTGTGTCACATTTAGTAGAATGGCTTTGCTATGTGCTACAGAGTTAGAAGACACCACATGTTACTTTAGAAGCAACCTTAGGCCACCATAATGTTACCAATTGCTTTTGTGGGTTCCTGGAGCATAGAGGCACTAAAAAATTTCTTGCCAGGGAGTAATGGCCGAAGTAGTAGCATTACTTTTTTTTTTGGTAGCTGTAATCTTTCTTTCATAGGTAATGTAGGGCAGTAACATGCTCTTTTTTTTTTTAGAGTGAAGGAGAGTGTTTAACGAATGACATATTTACTTTTTCCAGTAATGCTTACAACACTTAATCAATTCACTCATTACTGTTCCTTACAAAAAAGAAATGGCTGGTTCTTCCATGAGCAAGAGAAGTTGTAAGTACGAAATGGTTCCCAGAAAAGCAGATTAGTTGGAGATATTAGCCATCATCTTGTCCTTGTCAGCTTGGGCCAGCGCCTCCTATTTTTTTCAGTGCCTGGGCGAATGCTCTTTTAAGGCTGTCGAGCGCGTGCTCTACCTCGGCTCACCATGGGAAGCTGGCGCTGAGCAGCCGCGCGTATTAGGAAGCTCATAAATTCGCGTTTTCATGCGAGTTGAATTTGCGTTTTCATGCGAGTTGATTTGCATTTATGCTTCTCGCCGGCTTTCACAGGTACAGGGGGAGAAAAATAACACGAACATAGCGGTGTGCAGTTTTCACCAGGCTCTAACCGTGGTGGCAACAAAAAGATGCTGTATGGTATGGTCTTTGTAACATGTATGACTCTGTCTTTTTTATAAATCATCCAGGCTACAGCCGCTTAGACATAAATCCGAAGCAGGAAAGAAGGTAGATACAGCATGTCCACGTTTCTTTCCATGCCCACTGTATGTATTCCAGAAGCAGTCTGTCGGGCCGTGCGACGGGTTCGATATTTACATTAGAGTTTTACAGCATTCGTGTTTTATTTTCTCTTTCAAGCTATGGCTATCTCATCATATGTATGCTTTAGTATATAATACTGCTGCGTACCACTCTGCATATCTGATGGAAATAAACGAGATTGTCCTTCTTTTTATTTCTCATTAGCGAAAGAAAAAAACAAACTCACAGGCTTCCTTATAGATTCACCTGAGACGACTGAAAGGCAAAAACCATCTTCTTTTGTTTTCTTCCTATTCAATGCATTGAATGTTTTCTGCTTCCCTCCAGGATATTTCTTTGCCCAACGTGGTTTTTTTACTGCCTCAAGGATTCGAAACAAAAGCTGTGTTCCCCTCAGCTGGTTATGCACTGCCCCCGTGATCAGCCTATTTCAACTATGCGGAAATATAATAGAATCCCGTCAAGTTATGTTACCTTCCAGTGCGCCTTAAAATTTTATGAACTCTGACGTCTTATGATGACGTCTTTATATAATGGTTTCTTGCATCACTCATGTTGATTCCGCCGACACGAGAAGACACCGGACGCCGATGGTGATAAATTTTTGCTTTTGATGAGGCATTTAGGTTTTTGCCTTAAACGGACACTATAGTCAAATACCAATTTAAGTCGGAGTGAAAGCTCAATGTAAGACAACATCTAAAACAACAATATTATCAACAACAGTGCCCTACTTACCGAGAAATTGAGGTAAATGCACAAGAACACATGCGCCTCAAAATGATCCCGATGACATTAGACGGATCGCCTACAATTAATCTCTAGTAATCGATCTAGCTGCACTAAATAAAGAACCTTCTGTGCATCAAGGGATGCAATAAAATGATGCTTGTTCATTTCTGTTTGATTCATAGAAAAAATAACCGCCGGACGTTACTATAGGGAATGGCACGAATGGTTAAAAAATTCAATTTTCGCGTGGTTCTACGGAACAAGTACAATGCCATCTAGCTGGGCACATTTGAACCAAAAAAAACGTCTGAATCTTGGAGCCAGTGGCAGTAAATTGATCAATGGTCGTTGTTTCTGCTGTGGCTCCTGCTGCTTTCGGTCTTCTGCTACTAGTGCAGTAAAGCCAGGCAATGTTGTGCACGGCGACAGTGACGCGAGTCGGTTCGGTCGGTCCGCTTCTTGAGGCGGGTAATTTGAAGTGCGCTAACCCGAAGCAGACCACTAAAACATGATTTTATTTCAAAATAGGCTCTTCCTTGGCACAAAAGCAACACTATGAGGCTTCTGGACCGCTATTTCAACAATCGTCGATTTAATAGTTGCCTTTAGTGTCCCTTTAATAGGCTGTTGTTTCGTTAAAATGCAGCAGCCACTGGTGTTCGGGCGTGAATGCTTCCAGTAATCAGTTGGAATAGTTGGTCTCTTAATACTTGATACATATTTTAACTACACTCGAATATGTAGCCATCATTTAAAAGCCGAATATTTTATAAATTATAAGAAGACTACCTTTCATGTTTGCAAGCGACAGTTGTCACGTACTGTGTCATAATGAATGCGTACTTTTAGGGCTGAGCAGGGTGTCCCGTGTGATAAAAGCGTCCAGGTCGACAGAGGCTATTTGGCCTTTACTCTCCTTACTACCGAAGGGGCGAGAGGGAAGAAAAAAAAAAAAACTGGGCTGAGTAGACGGATATTGAGGCTATAATAATCAGTCTACAAGTACACAGACGAACTCAAGCAACTGACAACAGGCCACATTTTTCATGCCTGTCACCTTGGCTCAAGTTGAGAGTCGGCATTAGAGTTT